GAGATATTGCAACTGCAATTTCGGGTAAATTAAATCGTGTTCTTGTGAAAACCTAAGGCTGTTTTTATCAACTACTTGTCCGTGTAAAAACGCATTTTATTCACTGTTATAAAATGCTGTTATTTTTAATTTTTTTATTTTGTTTTCGTTAAAAAATTACAGCAAAAAAAATATATTGTTATTAATTATGTTAATTTTATATTGTAAAATACTTTTTATAACTTTTAATAACTTTTTAATATTTTTAATTAAGTAATTTTTTTATTAAATGACAACAAATTTAAGGGACAATTTTAACCTTTAAGCCTTTCCGCTGTTAACAAACGTATCAAATATTCGATTATCTGAGATTTCAATGTCTCTATGAGTAGATAATAATGCGAGTCCGACAAGTCTTGCGACTCGCGACCGATGCACAACATTATATGCATTGAACACCTACTACCACAGATGGATAAGTGCAGTGACGTCGAACCCTTCTTATATCACTGGGGTAAACCCTACTTATGGGTACTCACCTGCTCAACAAAAAATCATAAATAGCAAGTATTGCATACCTATGAGTTACGAGTATTTACTGCACATCTAGTAATTACATAATACTATGAAATATTTTACCGTACAATAATATATCTAGCACTCATGAACTCTAACCACCCACCCACCCACCATTTAAACAATTTCTGGGATATTTACCCCGCTTGCCATACGTTTTCGGCGCCACTAGATAGGCGTAAAGTGTTAATACTAAAAATTTTAAATATTTTGTTACTTTTTTATCGATATCCATAGACCATTGTAATAATAAAATGATTTTCTTAACGTTTCAGGAGGGCCGGAGCCCCCTCAGTCATTTGCTAAGCCGCTGCAACGGTAGCCACTGCGAACGTTTCACAGAAATCGGCAAGACTGGGCATTAACGAGTTAAAAATTAAAATTAAGTTAAAACATTAAGTTAATATTAACTAAGTTAAGTAACTCGTTACTTTTTTTTTGAAACTAACTTTTAACTCAATAAGTTAAATTTTTAACATATTTACATATAATATTCAAGTTAATTATATAACTAACTATATAATTATAAATTATATAAAAAATATGTATATATATTTCTTAAAGTTAAGTTATATTTAAAATTTTAAATAAACCATTGATTTTTTTTTTTCATTGTTGGCTTGAGAAATAATAATGTCATAACAATTAAATGGAAAAATTTATAATTAATATCGGGTGTTTGATATTATATACCTACACAATATAATATATATATAGGTATTAGGTGGATAGTCTGTATCCAGGTAATAAGTACCCACCCGCATGTAATAATAACTAAATACCTAACTATAACTATTTTTTTTATAGTAATAGTAGTTTTATAGTATATTATAGTGTTTATTGATGTTGAATGGTTGAATGTTGATGTCTATACAATATTACAATATACATACAGTATATACTATTCACTATTTAGTATTTAGTATTTAGTACTATACGTATATACACAATACACATTATGAATACGAATCATATGCTATTGGGTATTACTATATATTTTGTATATTTTATACAATTAAAATTATATGTATATCATTTTCATAACATATAATGAAAAAGGACATTGAACATATAAATTGATATACGTTTAGATAATAATAATATTATAATAGTAACCATATTATGAAGTCGTCGCGACGTTGCGTTCATGTACTTAATTAGTTTTCTTGTAAATCATAACTCATTATACCTAGTGACACGCACACGCCACATATCCTGAGAAACACGTTATTGAATATTTATTGAACACTTATTACTTACTTGAAATTATTAATATAACTCATGGGGAAAAAATTATTTCTGAACATTCAGATTCAAAAATCGTCAACTGCCCATCTTAAATCCTCAGTAAATACTGCTTAGCATACTAAATGGTTGGCCACATGAGCTTGACACAAATTCCAAATTTGTCATTCATTTTATTGGTTTTGGTTACAGATTCGAAAATAATTACATTTTTAATTAAGTTAATTTTTTTTATCCATTAATTTTTAACTTAACGAAGTTATTAAAAATACATTAGTTAACTTTTAATTTAACTTAACTTACTTTTTTTTTTAAAAAAACCGTTAACTTGCCCAGCCTTGGAAATCGGCGACCGCGTTTCGCTGCAACATTCGTATACACCGGTCGGCGAATAACGATGATTAATTTTCATTTGGTTTTAAGCGATTTGCATCTGTCGCCAACTGCATGCGTGTATTAAACACAAAAAGTATATATATATATCATTATGTGTAATGTAAATCGTGCGTCCACACGTTGGCGTCGGGTACGAACAATTCAATTTAAACGTCATTATCTATTTTACGCATCGGATATCACTGGTACGTGCAATGCACACGTGTAGGTAGACTAACATACCGTTTTTACTTGGACTTCTATCGCACCACATACACGCACGCACACGTATGCGTACACACTGTACGAATGAAAAGTGTCACTTCGCTCAAACTTAATCGTGACTAATCACGTTCGCAGTAGTATCGTCACGGTTTACCGATCGGACGCCAATGGATTAGAAAATTGTGTTTTATTATCTCGCCTTGCGGACCATCTCTTACGCTTTCTCAGCATTATAACAAAATACGCGCGCTTGCACGTGTAAACATAACAGTTTTTCCCAGTACACGGACAGTCATGATGCATAATGGGACAGCTCGAACTGCTCCGATAGAAGTGTAGCATTACAATGCACGAGTGTGGTAATGATTTTGGAATTAAAAATCAGCACTGATCTTCCCGAGTCGTGTACGAACTACTCTCCCGTACTGTTGTAACCTTTCGCGTAAGTGCACTCGGCGGTAAATTCCAGAAATCAGCGGAATTGAAAACCTACGTAAAATATCTATAGTCTCTTTCGGGGGTGGATTTAGGAATATGCTGGCACCTCGGAGGAATGTATTTCGAGGGCCTCTTGTTCATAAACCAGAAAAATGTTTTTTTACCTATTGAATAACATTTACTATCATATTTATTAGTGTTAACAATTAAATGCTTGTGTTAGGTAAGCTTGAGAAAAAATGAATATTTATTTGTCCATTTCAACATGCCACCTAAATCCCTATGGTACTCAAGAGATTCGGGTTTTTCTTGGACTAATGCAATAAGTAGTTGAGTTAAATGAGCATCTAAAGCACGTGAGCAAAGTTAGTTCAAATGAGTTTTCATAGAATCTAGAGAAAATAAATCGTTCTAAAAAATATAATTTTCATCCGTAAATATGTTTAAAATAATTATTTACTAAATATTTCACAATGAAAAAGAGTTTGTCAATTTTTAGTAACGGGTTATTTTTCAGTTTAACAAGAGTATTCAGAATGGTGAATGTGGGAGAAAGGCGCCCCTTCCTTCAATATGTCAATGTAACACATATTTTATAATTTATGCAGTTGGAAAAAATCTTTACAATAAAATTTGAGTGGCATCACGTCGTTATACGCACGTCATTACATAACAGAGTTGTTTTTCATATCACAGTTGTGTAATGCAATATGACCGCAACACGTACGTACACGTTCGATTTGATGGAAAACGTGTCCAGTATATCGGGTTGGCAGTTTTGGAAGCGGATGGCTCGAATTCATGAATGCGATCACAATTACCTCTGCAATAGTGTACGAGTGGCGTATATATAGGCGTACTTTAATCATGCGGTCATGTACGTCACTGTGTCATCTCAATATTTCAACACAAAAAATGATATGGAAAATATAAGTGCCTTTTTTACGTTAGATGACAAGACAATTTTTCATAACCTTCGACTCTAAGGTCTGGCGACGGGAGATCTTCGGAGTATTTTTTTTTTAGAACATAGCAAAATTATACGCATTTTCTAAGGGGCGGTGTTGATTATTACTATTCACTGGTTCGTCTGTCAATCAACAATTTTTTTTAGTACACATAATATATACTTCGATGAAACAATGATTGCTGGGGCACACAGTATTCTTGAAAGTTGATTAAGGCGGACAAAATTAGATTTTTTGAAGTTACATATTAAATATAAAACTTAATTTAATTAGTTGATAATAATATACTAATATATACTAATTATTAGTGACTGATTAGATAGTATGTGTTTATAAATCAGTACGCGGCGCTGCTGTGCATTTGTAGACAGAGTTGTCAAATGGTTCATGTTAAAGTCTTTAATATCAATTTAAATTGTCCGGGTTAATTGTATATTATGTTTCACGTTGCTCATTGAATACACTTAAAAATGTAATTAAGGACTTTATAAATGCACAATGTAAGAACCTAGGTTATCATTTAACTAAGAATCCAAAAATATATAGTTATTATAAGAATAAATAGTTTTGTCCGCCTAAATCAACTTTCTAGAACGCTGTGATAGAAGAAAACATTCTTAAGTAAGGTTGATGGTCGGGGGGGAAGGTGTTGCAGACAAATCTTATACCGATCATATTCATTTTATAAGCGAATATTTAATTTATTGACTTCATTTTTACCACGTACGATAGTCCTGACTAGATTTTTTAGCTATCAAAATCCTTATCATTCCCATACCTTTTAGTGTAAAAAATGTATAATATTATGTAAAATATTAAGGCATACATGATGTGTCACGCATTTATAAAAATTCTGAATAATTATAAAATAGGTTTTATTTAGGTTAGGTTAGGTCATTCTCAACTTTTCTACATCAGCGTTTTCCACCTTTGCATTATTATAAAACAAGTGATAAATAAATAAACGACGAAAAAAGCAAAACAAATTGGAAAAAGATCAAATAAAAATAAAATTAAGACATTGGAAGAGTAATATCCCGAGGAAATAAAAATTTATCGAATTCGTTCTAGTATTACAATGCTGTTTTTTTTTTCGAGACCAAATTGGAATTGATTGTTTTGTTTTCTCGAAGAGAGGTACCTTTGCGTATATATATAAAAGGATTCGAGAACCAAAAACACATTTCAGTTTAATTCTTCCACGAGATCCAATGTAAGTCTGGGTCGCTGTCATCTACAATTTTTTTTTTTTTACGAAACACAAAAAAAAAACATAATAGCAAATAAAATGTGTACCGTGTGCTATTTATGGTTTATGGTGTGTTCTCTTCTAATGGCAAGTGCAAGCATTTTAAACGGTGAGTATAGAAATAAATTTATTTTTCTTTCATTACATTAATTAATGAGTCTACAATTCTTTCTAGAAACAATTTTTCCTACAATTTTTTAAACTTAAATATTTAATTAAGATTTGATTTTTATTTATTATTGATTTTATAGTGAACATATATATTTTAGAGATATTAATTTATCTGCTGAATTGTTATTAGTTATTGTCAAAAGAATTTATAACTTTTAAAATAATAAATTATTATTGAAATTAATTGATGTGCATCGTACATTACACCAGATACTTTACATTTAATTAAAATATTTTAACGCACATATAAGGATAAGAGAATGTTTAAAATTAATAAAATAAAAAAGTTAATTATATAATCTGAAAATAGTCTTGTTATTGAAATATTGTTATTTTACGTCAACGTAAAATATAATAAATAATTATTTAAACTGAATTATTATTTCTATTAACAATAAAAGAACATAATGGATACTAATTATGTATGTTTTAATAAAATATTAATTTTAGCACTAATTTTAAAATAGTTCATTATGAATAGCATAAACTAAAATATTATGTCATTATGAGTATAAAATATGACAGTTTTATTGAACAATACAGAGTATATTAATTTTGACTAATATCTTATGTTCTAATTAATTGTTATATGATAACAGTCAAATATTAATACATTTAATTTAATTATACTTACAATGATATTTTATTAATTTAAAGAAATTATATTAGTTCATGTTAATCTCATTTCAAATAGACTTTAGTTTGACAATGTTTCAACAGAACATCAACAATGGCTTATATAGAATATTAATACAATTAACATACATGTAAAAACAGAGTATGTAATAAAAAAGTGGATATTTAAATGGTTTAAATAGATAGTAATACAAACAATAATAAAGCAATTATATATTAATTGTAATATTGATATATAAGTTATATTTTGATAAGAACAATGTTGAACATTATTGATATTTCATAAGCAAGTTAATCTTAATCTAGGTATAGACCATACAATATAGACTAGTAGTTTGACTTGTTTTTTATTAAAATATCTTTTTATTATTAATTTTGGAACATTGATCAGTTTATAAAGTTTATAACAAGACCTAGTCCAATTACTACAAAATTCATATATATGTATATAAAGAATATAAATTAAAAAACGAATCACTAGGTTTTCGGCTAACCAGTATTGGACCTCTGGAGCAATTGATTGAATCTATGAGCGATGACGACTGAAGTATCGAAAAATCTTTTAACACAATTCGTAAGACATACTTCAGTTTTTCCTCCCAATTTTGCAGACGGTTTGTCAACACACTTTTCCCAGCATATCTCACTGATTTCTTGTATCTACAAGGGTAATTTGATAATCAAGAATGAGATTAAAAAAAAAAAAAATTAGAACACAATTTCGACAGGTGCAATATTTTACTTGAGCGTTTAATTGAGCTTTCTGTTGTTCCATCATAATCACTTTTTGCACTTCTTCAATTTTTAGTTTATCAGCCGAACTACCACTGGACGAAGAGCCTAGGTCAAAATTATCGTTGTTGTTACCAAATAGATCCGCCATCGTAGAAATCAATTTCGACTAGATAGTCAGAGGTTTAGAGAGATATTTCTGCAAAGAATTGTCGGAAATAACGAATTCACGTGTGATTATTAGATAGAACTGAGAAGAATTTGTTTTTTTTGATAAGGAACCGGGGCTTATTATCACCGTGTCCCGAATGTGTTCAAGGCTGCCAACTGTTGAGCCAAATATTTAAAGGTGATATAGAGGCAAAATCGTTAACCATTTGAAAATGTATTATTCATGTCTGAGTAGTATTAGTAATGCTTTATGTAAACGTTTTATTTTAGCAGACCCACCTGATATATTTTTTTGTAAAAAAAATGTTGAATAATCGAATTTTTGCAATCTATAGAATAATAAATACAGCGTGGGTTTAAACGGGGTGAAAATAGAAAATGAGCAGCCTTGAATATGTTTGTATAGGTAAAATTGGTAAAAAATTTTCACATTTGGTTTTTTTTACGGCTCTACAAACATTTATATACGATATGCCTTTGCAGCAGATTATTATTATTTATTATTAAGTCGCGGCACAATATGTGAGAATATCGTAATTTTGCCGAAAATAAGTATCTCGGGACTTTTGAGGTGAAAAAGTTGAGCTTTTACGGCACACCCTTCGGAACAGTAGCGTAATTTTGGTGGGCAAGGGGGGGACAAGTGCCCCCCTGACAATTTTTTGAGAGATAAAGGTATAATTTTGCCCTCCAGATAATCCAACAGTACAAATAGCACCTTTTATTAATGAACTTGAACTCATATGGGTATTATTTAACAATATTAGTACCTAGTACCTGCTACCTACAATTTATGTTAAGCTAAACCACAAAATGAGTTAAAAGACTTATGTAAAATCAAACAATTAGATATACTGTATAGAATACATACAATAAAAATATGTTTTAACTGGCGAGGGTGAGGGGTGTCAAGGTTTTGGTAATAATAAATATATTATATTGCCCCCCTTTCCTAGATTTTTTCACAGTTACGCCACTGCTTTGGAAAACATTGAAATCCTCCAAACGTACTCGTACAGTGTTGGATATCGCGTTCTGTACGTACACGTTTTGTTTTTTGCACACAGATCTGCACGAAGCGCAAAAGTTCGTCGAGCAGTTGGACTACGATTACGCGGCAGTGGCCGCGGACGCTGCGGCCGCGCAACAGAGATCTGCGGCCGCTGACCTACTGTGGTACGACTACGGCGGCGGCGGTGGTGGTGGTAGCGGCGGTGGTGGCGCCGGGTCTCCGGCCACGACCGTACTAATCGCCGGCGACAAGCGTGGCGGCTCGCCCCAATCGAGCAACGGCGGCTTGTGGTTCGGGCCGCGGTTGGGCCGCAGGAAACGTCGAGGCGGCGTCGTGCAACCCGTAGACGGCAACACGGTTGGACCGGCCGTGTCGCAGGAAACTATCGCGTTGGGTCTGACGGCAGCGGCCGGGCAGGCGGTCGTCTCGGACCTGATAAACAACGCGCCTTGGGTGCTCGTACCGATCATCGAGAATACCCGTGAGTATAACGATCGCGTCGCCCGTTCGATCAGCGTGATGGCCGCGGAACACATTCCCATCGCTGATACTTCACACCTACCTATTGTGTATTGATACGTTTTATGATTTTCATACATTCCCGATAAATCTAATGAATCCCCATTGTCCCAATGGTAATGTGCGGTCGAGAACCGAATGATGGAAATTATAGATCTATACTCAGTCCAATCATGAATAAATTATTGAAAATGTTAATAATAATCATCTATACAAGGCTGCACACCTTCGGAAAGGACATTCGACGTGTTAAAATTAGTTAAATATTAACTCAACGAATTCCATATTGTATACTTTTAAATTTCAATAGAACTCTTAAAATCGAATAATGTATAAAATAAGATTACTATTCGTGTTTCGTAGGGCATTAAAAATTAATTTTAATAGTTCGAATCAGTGGCGCACGCAGGTGGGGTGGTTAAGGGGTTGTAACCCCCCCCCCGACATTTTCTCCGATGTCTAGGTTAAAATTTACAAATTTTTCGAGTTTGAAATATGAAGAGCTAGTATTGAATACCTAGTATCATAGATTATAGAATAGTCTATTCTATTATTAATGCTATTATTTTAGTCAAAATATATTAAGAAATTGCATAATTTTGTTAATTGTAAAATGTATTATATTTTTAACTTGCCCCCCCCCCCACCCGAAAAAAAATCCTGTGTGCCCCACTGGTTCAAGTCAATAAGAATTTTCCCTTTTGAAGTACTCCACTGAATAAACAATGACCGTCCGCGATGATTTATGTGATGTGCTGCGCGTTTCAAGACGGTTCCAAAATGTAATCGTGACGTTGCTATCGCGTGCGGTAACATAATGTGCGTCTTACCATATGTGCAAAATTCGAGCAGTAGGTAGAGCGTGCGCAAATTACTCCGCATATTTGGTCGGAAAACTGTACACATGCACTCCGAGTCTTAAATGTTTTGCTTCGTGGACTGACTGTGCGGAAGTCGAAACTATACGAAAATCTGTATTTCACGACCACTGCGGTATAACATCGATTAGTATCGTCAACGATCCCCGTGCAGCTATAGTTCATTTTTGCAGTCGTGGATCGCGTTAGTGGGCATCGTGCATCTAATTAATAATTATTATACATCATAATCGTTTGGAAATGATAACTAAGACAATAATAGGTCGTAAACGCGGTTCAAGTTCAATACGCGATATGGTTATGACGAATTGCTGAAAGATTTACAGACCACAATAGGTATTTTACGTGGACTAGCTGACCAACTTGTTAATTGTTGCATAACGGTCGCCGATTTCGATCCGTTGAACTCGAGTTTCTTTCATTTACAAACGGTACATCGAAAATTGCGTAATTATGTCGATACCGAGGTTTAGCGATGAACGAGTTTGTAAGCTACTCTATGGAGATGGTATGCATTTCAGTTACAAAACTTATAAATAAAAAAATACAAATAATAGTTTTTAAGGTATATTTATCAATTAATCATAAAAGTACGCACATTCAGTTGACCTCCGTATTTAATCCTGTCAATTTTGAACAATTACAAACAATTTGAAATATAATTTTCGAATCTGTTGATCGTAATAAACTCAGAAAATACAGATAAAATTGTTTTTTTTTTTTTATAACAGTCGTTCGAGTTGTGTATGTGTAATTTTTCTAAAATCGCATTTGTATTTTGTTTATAATTTCACATCCGTGCGATCCTATCCCAAAACGGCCTTTAACCAGCTGAAGTGTTTCAAATTGGTAATAGAAAAATCTATCACGTCTACGTGAAAATATTTTAAACTGTTAACAAGACAAGTTGAAATGTGGTTTACTAATTTGTTCAGTAATTAAAACAAGGGGGGCAGGTTTAAATGTAAATTTTAATGCGTCTTAATGACGATCTATATATGGTTTTAAACCGCTATAGCTGTATTTAGTTTTTAATTTAGTTGTTGTAAAATATTCGAAGCATTCATAGGAACGACAAGTGAAATCAAGTCACCGAGTTGATTCAATCGGTTCTATTATAACCGACTCCCTTTGTCACACTACAATCCAATCCTTGCAACGGTTTGAACAATACATTTCGCGTGCAGTTTTTATTCCAAAGACTTCTGTCGAGTGGTGGTGGATGCACAGGCGTTGATAATTAGTTGCACTACAACCGGGCCATAATTAATCGTATAGTCGGAGAAAAATGGCCAGTCCGCGCACCTTGGACCAGTGGCGTGCCGAATTTAGGTCTAAATGAAGCCCAGACTTCAAGTTAAAAAGGGGTGGGTGGTTGTTGGATAATAATTTGTAAATCACATAATCATCGTATATATTTAGGTGGAGAAATATTGATACATGAATTTTGAATAAGATGAATTTAAATATGGGTAGATGGGTGGTAATCTAGACTTTGTAATTGGCATCAAAAAATTTTTTATCTCGGCACGCCACTGCCTTGGACGTTTCGGGCCGCTATCATCGCGACACGACAACGTTTCGGTGTTGACGAAACGCAGTAGTGACTCGCACGTGATTATTTCGAATGTTTAGCAAACCGCACGGAGGCGACGCCGATTTTCCAAACGTTTCCGTACTAATTATCGGACGACATTTTAAAACGACACGTTATCAGTGTGTTACGGTCACCGCAGACCGAGCGCTGCCACTTAATGACAGATCCGTACGCGGACATGATGTTTGCGGCTAACGATGATTGATCTATGCGCACCGTCGTCGCGGGCGCACGGAGGCGTGCTGCTACCTGGGGGAAAACCGCGTGCGTGTGACGAAACGTCCCACCGGTGTCGTAGTGCAAACGCGCTGCGGCAATCTGGACGTGTACAATAGCAGATTTTACACACAGAGAAATAAGAATAACAAATCGTTAATTACGGCACTGCTGGTCGCAGATGTGAACCGGATGACCTGGGTGTGCACCGCACCAGTTGTACTACCCGTTCAAAGCCAACAACCGCTAGCCATAGTCGCAATGCAACCGTACAATGATAATCGCCACCCGATTTGTTTTCCCGGGTATCCGGAGGGCGTAACACGTTCCTCTCGTTTTTCGCCAAAGGTCTATATGATAATTGCACAGTCCATTAGGACACGCGTAGTGCAAGCACACTGTCAGTGGAGGCCGTTTAAATGTCGCCGGATGTGTGGCACCACAGCGGCGGTCAAACGATTTTGTCATCAAGGGGAGGGGGATGTAGCTGATTTTTTAACAAACACTATATAAAAAAAAATTTTCGCTTTTAAACATGAAAATTATATCATATCAATGATATTGTTAATTATTATTAATGATATTTATATTATTAAATCTATTTTTCTGGTTTTTTTTTACCAATTCGTCCAGTACTTCGTCTGCACTGTTATTGACAACCCAACGATGAACAGCCATAGTGGCTAAACCATTGAGACTACTCTAAAATAATATAATTACGCAATTCATATAATAATATAATTATGTTAAGCATTAAGTATTAAATTTAAATTTCATACATTCTTATAATTTAAAATAAATGAAAAAACCTAAAAAAATTTGTTTCAATTAATATTTTAGTCTTTCATGTTTGAATTGTTAATTTTATTCCAGCCTAGAGACGGTATAATAACTAATAAGTACAGTATATTAATTTTTTTAAATAGAAAATAGATGAATACCTACATTACATATGTATAATATGGATGAAATATAAATATTTAAAAAAGGTCATGGGGAGGGATCTATCCCTCCCCCCGTTTGACCTCAAATGCGGCACCAAAACGATGCTATTGAAATATTGTTAGATATTATATGAAAGTAAATGTTGACCCTTAGAAGCGAAAACAGGTCTGTGTATAGGCGCAACTAGAAAGAAGCTTAGTCTCCCCCATAAATATTCCATGTTATACCGCATACACATACTTAACTCACAATAGTGTCACATACAAAAAAAGACGCATTGCAGTAAATCCAATTCGGCTCAGAATCCAAAATATGTTAACATGGTATATAAGAGTAGAAGTAATCTACAGGTTATTTTAAGTTTTGGTAGGAGGGCTGTAGCCCCTCTGATTTTTTACTCTAGTTGTGCCTATGGGTCTGTGGTGTGTGTTTGAATTTTACGGAACTGAAGACACCGTTAAAAACCTCAAAGTGTAGGTAACAAAATGTGTGGTTATGACGTATATAGATATCCACCGAAGTAAAAACGATAAAAACATTTAATGGTAATTCGGAACATGTTGGAGCTGTTTGTGAGCAGACGGTCGATTTTGCCATGCGTTACCTGAGGATAGAGTGAAGCGAGTAGACTGCATTTAACGTATTACAACATCGATGGTGGTCTATGTACGGTACTTAAAATTATTATTCTTTGGAATTATTCTCTTTTGAAAACCAGTAAACGATGTACATTCGAATAACTTGTTAATCGATGATTATAATTGATAGAAAATGTTTGTATCGTAAAAAGCTTTTATCGACATTATTGGAGCATATAGATATACAAGATGTCGTCCGTCAACTCTGCCGACAGTATTTTCGTTGATTCGCTTCTCTCTTCCGTCAGCAGTATTTTAGGTTTTTTTCCGCTGTATTTACAGTCATACCGACCTCGGTAATATTATCATACGCTTGACGGGATCGCTAATAATACTACTGTTGATTAGAATAATGGTTGTTGGTGTTTTTTTGTTCTCTCGTCTAGCAGTGTACAACCAGATGCAGATGAAACAGAACGCGAGGAGCGGAAGATCGTCGTCGGAGGACGACAGCGACGAGGCGGATTCGTCGTCCCGACACTCGGCCAGATCGCCGCCGTACTCGCAACAGTACTCGCCGCCGTTCTCGCCACGTTTGGGCCGACAGGCAACCATGGCCCGGCCGCAGGTACCCAGGCTGGGACGCCAAGCGCTACTGTACCGACGAGACGCCAGGAGCGCGTTGTACCAGCAGAACGCTGCGCTACTCGGGCAACAGCAACAGCAGCAGCAGCAGCAGCAGCAACAGCAACAGCAGCGACAGGCGTTGCAGACCGCTACCGAATCGGTGGCGACGGCGGCGGCTGCGGAACCAAGTCGTACAGTGTAGAAGACTTTGGCGGGTGCGTTTTCGGGAAAGGGGGAAAAAACAGACCCTTACATTATATAGCGTAGTCGGTATTTGTTGTAGACCAAAATAATAATTAAAAAATAATTTATTATGTGTACTTGAGATTTTTTTTTCCTCATCTACTTTTCCCGTTCACCACACAGGAGACCTCATTCAAGCACATCGATCACGTATTGGAGGAGTACCGGTTGATTGAAACCTTATGACCGATAATCAGTGGAGTCGCTAGGACTATGTGCTCGCGATTGGTATCGAGTGGCAGTCGTGAATCCAAGGGGGGGACTAAGGGGCTTTAGTCCCCCGTCCTCCTTCGGACGTATTTATATTATGTAATTATGTCATAAATACTTAATAGGAATGTCTTTGGTTGATGATCGGTTCAGAGATCATATTTTATAATTTTAAAATATTTTATAACTAATATACATATGTATCTACTATGAGTATATTTTATGTTTTCTGTAAATACAAATTAGTCCCCCCCACATTTCATATTTATATATCCGCCCTTGTCGGGTGGTATCGACCACCAGGGTGACCAGGTCACGTATGCTGTTTTCGAGAGGAATGGTACATTGGTTTCAAGTTTAAAAGATCAATATAACAGTATGATTCACCCGCCTCAATATCTCACCTAGCTTCGGAATTTCATCACAGATTAAACTTAATATTTTCACCTGTTTTTTAATATTTAAATTTAATCGCCTATACAGCGATTTTCTATAAGTATATTATGTCACGGTGCAGCTATGTATTAAAGTGCCATGTACTTTAAAGAGTATTCATTGTATTAGTTCAAAAAGACTTTAATACAATATTAATTATGACTAAACTAGTTGACGGAACAAATTCATACTTATTATCATAAGAAACAGTCAATATCACAATACGCAGGGTCGCAATTTCGATATAAAAACTGGGGGTGTGAAGTCCTTTTATCTTTTTCATGTTCTTTATTGGTTATAAACACCTGCAACTCATATAATTCCACAGTTACTAAAATATTTGGTAAATATTTGAATGTTTCTAAATTCAAATTGTTCACTTTGATTTGTATGCGAGTATATTATATATTTTTATTGCGCATATAACGAATTATCCGTCTGTAAACACAAATGTTTCATCACATGATCACTTTTCGATTCTGAGTGAAACGAAGGATATTATGGTTTTATAATGATGTTGGTGTTTTATTTTTTTAACACTTTTTCGGATATAAATACTGGTCCAAAAGTTTTTTCTATGAACTTTTTAGATTTTAAATTAGCATGCAGTGGTATTTTAGATATGTAATTTTTTAAATCTTAATAGTTTTTTCAGGCGAGAGGAAAAGCTGAAACGGTAAAAATACGGTGTAATTAAGACTTTCACTTTTTAGATTTTAGTTAGTGGCTAGAAACTTGAAACTTTTACTCAAAAGATTATTTTTTATCGTATTTGAATTTTAAAAAGTGCTTTGGTTTAAATATAGAACTATAAAAAAATTTTTTTTTTGAAAGTCATTGCGTAATAAAATTTTATTTTTTGGATGTTAAGTGAAAATGTAATATCACAATACTCATATATGAGTGCTTATTCACCGATACTGAACAATTTTAAAAATCGTTAGTATCTATAAGGGGTAACACATTTTTAGGAAGACTAAATGGCGAAGTTTGATAGGTACATTCAGCCCGAAAGAATAATATTTTATTTATTATTTAACAAATAAATTTGATTTCAAGTTACGTATTTTTTCTGCACTGGACATTTACGATATGGATAAGTAACCTACTTTAAGCGTTATCCGGCAAATATATTGCAACTTAATTATAACTGTTGAATAAATGATTTTGATAACATTTGATATTACCCTGCGTAACAGTACAACGATTTCTTATTTCGGTTTTGCGTCAAGATATCTCAAGTGTTAACTCATAAATAATATCAACATCATCAACTGATATCAACAAAATGGGATTGACTATCAGGTAAACGAATCTACACAACATTATCGTAACACGTCGTACGGTACAACAATAACGCGCTACAGCGCGTGAGATGCATGATATTTATGTATTTTTTCAGTTCCAATCGCCGTAGTTCTCCTGCTCAGGAGATGGACAGGAATGACGAGCGATTTCAATTGATGGCGTTTTGTTTCATTTGCGGATGGCCACAGTTTCTGGTCTGGATGACTAAGGACCAAGGTGAGTACGGTTAAGGTTCTATTTTAGCTACGACAACTTTCGATCTCCGATCGGGTTTTCTTAACGTATCTCGCTCGTAATTTTCCCGTATTAGCCCGTCGAGGTTTCGCGCATCACGGTTGCTGTGCTGGACCGGAAGAACCGCGAGACGGCCCTCTGGCTCGTGATGACGTCGGTGGTCGATCGGCTCCCAGTCCCGTAGCCTTTACGGATTGCGGTTCGCAAACGGACCCCGTGTCCGTCACCGTTCCAGAGGCCAACCGCGACTTCGGGTGCGGAAACTCCTACGTAAGGTCCGTTGACGTGTGCACGCAAACTTACCCGTCCGCCGGAGAAGTCACGTTCGACGTCAAAGAATCTAACGAGGAGGTGAATTCCGCATCGTTTTGCGACGCGGTCGACTCGACGACGAGTGTCCACGTGACGATAGAACAAGTCCGTTCGATAACGACCAAGACGAAATCGTCCCATACGTTCTTCCTAAAATGGAAGAAAATCCCGCAAAAGTGAGTGCAAAACCACATTACCATTAATTATTTACGGTCATGTTCAACGCCAACAGATCCCTTCCGGATTCTGCATATTTTTCACGTACGCAATACGACTTAATTTAGTGCGCAGTGTAGTTATAGAACATGTACGCTTATCATTTTGCGAGACCTAAGTTTGTTTCCCACAATCGCACACATGAATATTTGAGTGGAATTAAAAAATAAAAAACGTTATCATTTCAATACCTTATGAACTTGAGGGTGGTAAAATAATTTGCCTCTGACCGTTTGCAACAGTCGATCACAGTAAAACGGTCGCTAATAGTGTAACACCAAACGAACAAATACATATAACACGATACTAATCAACAAGATATTATTTAATATGTACATAATTATCTGCATGAACTCTCCAATGTTTACTAATTACGACGTACTATTCCCAGGAATTGAACGTCACCTACAAATTGTGGGAAAATCGGTTTTCACAATTTTCAAAATTCAACGACGGCTTTATGGCAGACCCAGGTATTTTAGACAGGCGAATGTTTTTAGTTATGGTATCGACTCCATTTGTGTTTTCATAATTTTACGATTTTTACAGCGACCCTTTACTCCGAGCCTCCAGAAGTTTTAGCAAAACTTATGGCTTTAAGACGTTAAGACCGTTAAAATACACGATATGACATGTACTTCGACAGATGGATTCATGAAGGTAACTATATAATATTATTATAAACTGAGTTTCAAATATTGCCCAATTTTTTATCGATTATTCAAAACCAATGCGAATTGATTTAAGGTATTGAGGTATAAAACGACGAAACTGAGCCATCGGTTTAAATATTAATATAATTTTAGTAATATTGATGTTTGTGAATTCGTTTTTTTTTTTATTTAAGAGGCGCATAAAATATTTGCCTCTGCGATTATAATAACAATACAATATGACTTAAAATAATGTTAAATTTCACAATTAATATATAAAAACATAACAAGATAAGAGAAATAAACACAATTATTAAGATGAAAATAAAAATATCGAAGATAGTTAATTATAATATAGATAAGCATTACAATAGAAATTTTCATATTTTAATATTTAGATATGTGGTTGTTAGCTATTCGGCTAACAGGTAAACATAAAATACAATTATAAAAATTGCAGTTGATTACAATTATAATAATAACTTAGGAATAATATTATCGCATGAAATCGATAATTAGAAGGTGATTAGATAAGAATATGAAATGAAATAGTACACAATTTGATGTACTTACGATGATATATGAAATTACAATTGACCTTTATTTAATAATGACGTAAGGAGTGACAGGAGGGGTTTTATAATCGCAGTGAATTCGGTAAAGAAAAAGTTAAATAAAGTTTCTATATTAGGAGATAAGTGGGAGCGTTTATAATTGGCGGAAGTAGCTTCGGCATATAATAGTTTATCAGTATTGGAATTTAAGGTGGATTTAGGAGAGTTAATATGAGAATTGGGAGTAGAAATTAAGTGTTCACGATGAGGTGGTCTATTTTTTAGTTTTTTATAAACAGTACAGCCTTTGTTATTTGCTGGGTGACTACCTTGGTATAAAGCACATCTGGCCGGAGATTCTAGTGACGTAGTGCATACGTCAGATCTATGTTCTTCGCCACATCTGATGCATCGTGGAACGTGGTTGCAGTAACGCTGAGTGTGCCCGTAAGCTAGACAGCGGTGGCATTGAGGTGGGTCTTTACGTGAATAGGGTTTTTCGACAACAATTTTTGTGTGCAGAAGATGATCGATTTTGTATAAATCTATATTGTTAGTGGCTTTTTTGAGGTCGACGAAAAAGAGAGGTAGAGGTGATTTATCGGAACAGAGCTTAATGTTATGAACGTGGGTAACCTGGTGTCCCAATTCCGAAAGAGCGGTAATTATATCTTCAGTAGTGGTAGAGGGGTGGAGATTACAAATCACCACACGTAATGGGCGCTTATCATACGACTGGTATGAATGAAAACTGAAATTGGTCTCAACTAGATATTTAATGAGTAGTCTGTAATGCTCATAGAAATGAGTATGGATGATCAGGTAAGAAGGAGTGGTTTTACAGATAAACTCAGTTGTATTGATAATTTTCATCAAGTTTGAGGTGAAACTGGAAAAATTACTCACGCCTTTAATATAAACTGCAGGTGGTTTTGGTGGAATTTTTTAATCATGAGATTGAGTCTTGTTTGGCTGTGTGTTTTCGTTTGAGTCGTTTAGTGTGGTAAGAACTGAGTACCGGTTAGGAGTCATAAATATTTTTGATTTCTTATCCACTGGCTAGGGTGAAAGCGAAGAAGACGATAAATTTCTTTTGCTTATGCCACGACTATTAGTCGATTAGTTGATTTATTACGTAAACGTAAAGACAGAATATAATAATATAATAGCGTATGAAAAACAGATAACAGAGCGAACGTAATGACCGTGCGTTCATGGTGAACGTTATCGCCAGACTGGTGAATTCGTTGAACAGCAAATTAGGATAATGATATTTTAATTTATTTGGAAAATCGGAGTTCGCGACAACAACAGGTTGGATTTAGATGAATTAATTTTGTTGGTTTTAGTTTCAGATCCAAATCAATCGTTTACGAAGGGATCTCGTTTTAAATATAGACAAAAACACTTACCATTCAACTAATGACTGAATTCATTCAAAGTGAGTATTATGATTTACTATATGATGTATGATACAATGTAATTATACTATTAACAATCATAAACATATAATATATACTCTTATCTTATACGGAGGATGTCGATCGATATCACACTTAATCAAAATATTTTGACTTATCATTTCAAACTATTTAATCGCGATAGAATTATAAATATTATTTAATTTTATCATGTAAGACTAATTAATGAGATAGTTAAGAATTGAATAATTAATTTAGAAGTAGTAAACGAATTTTATTTCCCATTTTAAATTCCAACATATAATAAATCTAATTTAATCTTAATATTTACAGGATATTATTCAACAGTTATCCCATCCCCTATATCTATTGAAAAACGATCAAACTAATTTTGTTTTATCGATAATTCGTGCAGCATTGTTCAAAAACATTCAAATCAGATCAAAAGCTTCTTTTGAAAGCAAACTACTTTTCAAAAATAATAGTTTTTTTATGGTGAATATTAATAATTTTGAATTCATAATATAATATAAAATTTATCTGTTTTAATATTTTATAGATTCGATAAAATACATCATGATGATGAACGTCAGCTCGCCGAACATGAAATACATAATCAACGACATTGAAGATGACTTAAAATATTTTATAAATGTTCAATTTCTTAAACTATTTTTCTATAATTATTTCATAACTTTAATAACATTTTGCATATTGTTTACATAAATTTTATTTTTTCTTACAATATAATATTATTATAATATTGTATATTTCTATTTTTTGGTTTCTTATTTATTTCATCGCATACATGATAAAATAAATAATTAATAATGTAGGTAACATTAAGAAAAATCGATTTGATGATGAATTTATAAAACTATAAAATATAATAACTAAAATGGGTATAATTTTTTTTTACGTGGAAGAAAATTCACATATTATTCAAGATAATGTGCAACTGAATAAGTTCCTATATCTTTGTTTTCAATTGAATATAAATATTTATAAAATAAAATTAAAATACAGTGGATTCCGCCTAATGTAGGCATCGGTTAATGTGGGTAACAGGATTTTAAAAATGTTTCTTTGATACAAAAACAGTATCTTAAAAGTTAAACAAATGCAAGTTTCGTTGTATTATCAATTTTCAATACACTAAAATACATAAATGAAATAATATTAAAATATAATCAGAGATCATTATATACTGGCTAGATAGACAACGTTTCCTTTAACAGACTTATCAATATGAAAATCAACATAAAATCAATAATATATTTTTCAATCAGTATGGTTGTATACAATAATAATGTATTTTTGAATTAGCCAATAAATATTTAAATTACAAAATCATAAACTTATTTTATTTTCATATCAAAATAAAAAAAAGAATCATTCAATATAATGCCCCGGTTTAGGGATTTAAGAATCTGACAACCCTACCTATTACTATTATCCAGTTCGAAGACCGAAGAGATGAAGGACGAACTTCCACCACCATTATTTAAATAATAAATTTATATATTTTTACAATAAAAACTCTGTTTTTCTATACAAAATGAGTATTGAGTATGTAAATTAACATTTTGGGATGTTAATTTCGAAAATGAGGGTGCTAAGCACATCCAATCTCCCCCTAAATTACGTCTAAGACGATACGCGTACTTATCATTGTCAAAACCGATTTAATGTTTTTTATAATATTATATCAACTACATTGCTCAGTATTACTGATCGTTAAAACTTTTTTTCGTGTAGACCAATTTAATATGTAAAATATTATCAGTTGCGTTTAGCTAAAAAAAATGCGATGAAGTGCATGGAGAAAAAACAGATTTTAGCAACCTCTTTGAGCCATACGGTTTAATAAATATTAAATGCGATAAACGATAGACGATATATCATACGGTAGAGTACTTGTTACGATACTTGTATGCGATATTTTAATTGTTCGGACCATTCGAATTTTTGGAAACTATAATTCGATTGTTCGGCAAACAGAATGAAACTCGTAAGAAAACCATATCATTGCGTCATAACGAATAAACGACACACACGTAGTCGTATATTTTCGTCTGTCAAATTAAATATCTTCGGGCCGACAACACAGGGGAGCTCGTTAAAAATATTTACGTGCAAGTCCACGGGAAAGACATTACAATATATTATGATAGCGTCTGCCGGGAAAAGACGTATTATTTTCTAATGAGGTGTTGTTTACAAAACACCGCGTGTCAGATCGCGGCCTATTCCTATTATGCCACGCGACGCGTTCTTTGAAACGATTGTATGTTAAAAAAAAAAATTATTTCTACAATTTCTACGATCGGTAACGCAGTTTGATTTTACCAAAAGAAGAGACATGCGAATTTAATCGTACGACCGTTGAAGCACCAGGATTTAAGACCAACGGTATACCGCTGCACCGTTGTATTATACGACAATAATAGCTATGATTTATCCATACATAAATATTTAAATAAAATGTATTGATTTTAATAAATCGCGATCGACTAAAATCCAAATAAAACTAAATCCTTTTTGTTGTACATTTTCCACTCGGTATACCTGAAAATATTTTTCAGCGTAATTGTTCGCTTATAAAATATGATAAAAGTTTTTATTAATATTTTTTGCGATTAATTAAATTCTAAAAACTATATAATTGTTTTTGTTTTGCAAACCTTCTAAATGTTTGTATTTAATACATTTACACATAACATTGATGACATGATCGATATGATATTTGATCAAGTTAATTATATTTTACGTAAGATCGTAAAAAATTACAACAGTTGTCAAGTTGACAAATGTTCAATATAAATTATAATTTTATTTATGGCAAATCAAGTAAGAATGTTCGATTACACCCATTTTTTGACCATATTTATGATTAAACCCTGCTTAATATAGATACCAGTTAATTAATACAACCGCTTAATCGGTTAATAAATAAATTAATGATTGTAGTGTTAATGTTCATGGCTTATTTAGTCCACAAAACCGGATAAGTGGAATTTTTTGTCGAGTATATATTTCAATTATGATCGATAATCCGACAAATTGGGTTACGCTTTTATGGATGAGATGCAGTTGTTGTAGCCACGATTTTTTTTTCGAGGGAAATGGGGGCTTATCAATTTTTATACAGCGATGGTTATAGATCATCCAAAAGTTTAACATGTGGATATCGGAGTTATATTTAAGATTTTGATTTCTATAACCTTTAACATATATTGATTTAATAATACTTTTGTATGCTTTAAATACTTTGGATATTGTATTTATAGTAATATAAAATAAATTATTTTACATGTATTACTTATTAAAAAAAAAATAATAATAATAGAAATACAGTTTTTTTTTTATAGGACATGATATAATAGACCAACATTTTAAATAATAAGACAAACTCCTACTTAATAAACGTGAATATAGTAGGATGAATAAAAATAATTAACAATACTTATTTAATTACTTTTTAACATTTTTAATTAATTTTATTATTAAATGACAAAAAATTTAAGTAACAATTTTAACCTTAAAGCCTTTCCGCAGTTAACAAATATATCAAATATTCGATCATCTGAAATTTCAATGTCTCTATGAATAGATAATAATGCGAGTCCCACAAGTTTTGACTCTGAAATTGAATTCGTGATTCGCGATTCGCGACCATCGATGCACAATATTATATACATTGAATAACTGCTACCACAGATAGATTTTTATAGATAGCTGTAGAGTGTTAATACTAAAATTTTTATGTATTTTTACTTTTTTAATTATTTTTATAAACCATTAATATAATTTTCTTAATATTTGAGGGGTATACAGCTCCCTCAGCACCACCCTTGGCTATACCACTGATGAGATATGCCCAAGTTGTTATTTAGTGCATCAGCTGTTAATCGTGAGTGGTATTTTGTTTCTAAAATGTAAATAAATATTTTTTTCGTGGGCATAATTATTTTATTTTATATAATATTACACATATTTTCTATTGATTAAAAAATAATTATTTTATATTAATAAACCAGTAACTTACCATTAAAATGTTCATTTTTGTAATTTCGTATTATAACAACCGTTTTATTAGGATAAAATAACATGTGAGCGATGCATCTTAATAAAGCGAAGTTTACAATGTATATTTTCGTATATTTGTTTTAAGTCATAAATTACCACTGTGACGTATACGTAGTTTATATATATATATATATATATATGTATTCAATTACCTTTTGATTTACTATCCATACGTATAAATTTAGATCATACACAGTTTTGTGGTCTCAACTCTCATGTATATACTATGCAAAGCACCACAAATCACTATAATATATATATCGCAATTAACAGTGCAGTTACGAACTATAATATGTTTAAATTTCGAGCGATTTTCATACATACATCAATATATTTCGATTTAAATAGATAAACTTGAAAATAGATTTTTAGTATCATATCGTTATTATCTGCACTGTACAAAAAAATAAAAAAAATATTGTAATTAAAATACTTGTACTATATACTTTTTATGTAATCTATATATATATTTTTACATTTCAATATGACTTTACTTCAAATTCGATTTGTCGCTCGATTTGAAGTAGACAATAATATGTTTAATACTATTGAACGTATAGCAACAATGTGCTAAACTACAATTTTAAATTAAGCAACATATTTTAACGTACAATGCGATTTATTATATAAAATATGTTTTTAATATAAATTGATATACATGTTCAAATAAAATGTATACTTATATAATATATTAACGTTGTTAAAAAAAGAAAATAATAATATTGCTCGATACGCATATAAATGCATAGTATATATGTAATACTAAATAATTATAATCACGCAAATCACTCGAACATTTAACATTTAAAAATATAATAATTACAAAATTTCCAATCTTTTTTCTCTTAACAGGACTGCAATGACAGGACGAAACACTTTAACGCATTCAAGAGAAGCCGACGTTTCGACGCTTTTTAAATTTAACACTAAATATACCTCTCCCCGACCGTATTCACACGTATAACATTTATACATTACACTAATTACACGTATATAACAATAAACCGATGCGAAGTACCAATACATATACAATGCTAGGTTTAAAAAATATAAATTATGTATTTACAGAACTTTGTGACTTTTCGTTGCGTTTACAGTGTTGTACAGATTAAAAAAAGGGTGACATTTTTTTCAACATAAAACGTACACTTTAGATCTCTTGCGAGTGCCATTTATAGTATTATATGTAAAGCCAAATATTTTAAAGTACGTTGTGAAACTATTGGAATTGAAGAAACAAAAGGTGAACTTTACACTTGTTCCTGTTTCAGCTCTAAAGCCCATACCTCCTGTGGCCATCCGGTCCTGCCTTTACTCCGTTTTTGATGGTACTGGTGTTCGTAGTGTTGCTGTAGGTCGGCAATAGACGAGTCCAAAGGATTTCGCGGCATCTAAACAATATATGAGATGAGAATTATTTTGCATTCGTATACTACGCGTATCGTGCAGCGTTATTGCATTTAATACATTATACTTTTTTTTTTTTTGCATCATTTATATATTATTTTTTTATTATCATTTAATGTCATAATATAATGTAAGATCTTATGTACTAATATAATGAACTTTCTCTCTCTTTTTCTCGCCAAAAATATAACCTATACTTATGTACACTGTATTATAACTATGGTTTTTGGTAGCAACAAAATATTATTATCATACGAGTAATATCGTTGACCTAAGCACGATCTCATCGGACAATCGCTACGGTCAAATGTTTTCTGTTTCATTTTTTATCCTATAATATTATCGTCGGTTTTATGACACACGAGTAATTATTACGGTTGGTACGCGCAACGCGTTCAGATACAACTACCCCGAGCTCGTATTCCCACCGTATTATAATCGTCTCACATCCCCTATACGGACGCGCGAAACCATTAAGACGGTTATTATTTACGCATTCGTTGCGCTCTGCTGCTTGCCACAACAGTGTTGCGGCGCACAACAAAAGGATTCCTCGGTTTCTCGCACGCTTTCAACAATGTGTCACGTGTTCGACGTGATTACTCGAGTTCATATAGACAATTGTTATTACTATTTATGTTTTGCAACCCTCCACGTCACGTACGGTATACTACATACGATATTGCACCGCGACGATATCGTTGTCGGACAAGTGCAGCGTTCACGGAAGTGCGGGTTACGGTCGCGGTAACGCGTAGGCGAATGTGACGATAGGGTTGCGAAGGGTTAAACGGCCGGCTGTCGCGTTTAGTGCATATTATAATAGAATTATCATTAGGTCACGGGGTCGAGTGCAGGCGACGCATGGAAATCGTGATCGTATTGAAACGTACATGACGTGATGTACGAGATGGAATGTAATAAGCAAATGGAGTCGTGCTCTCATAAGTCGCGTATCTGCAGTTTAAGATTTCGTTAATCTTGGGCGATGCGTTCTCGGCGCGCGTGAAAGTTACATGTGTTGAACTTTGCATACGTAAAATAATTAGTCTACTCAGACGTTGTTTTTTCAAACGGGGGAGAATCGTTTAACGTTCCCCCTAACCCCAACCCCAAGTATGCGATTTGCGGTTTACGACCGACGCGGTAGTACCTGGTGCTGGGCAATCTTGTGCGTGGCGGAAGACCGCCTGGACGAGTGCGCGGACAGGTCGGCTTTGAAACCGTCCGTGTCCGGGTCGTCGCTGTCCAGCACGGTCATCAGGTACCCGATGTAGGACGTGGCCAGCCGGAGCGTTTTGATTTTCGACAGTTTCGTGTCGGACGGCACGTTGGGAATGCAATCCCGGAGATCGGAGAACGCGTTGTTGATGCTCTGCGTGCGCCGCCGTTCTTTTTTGTTGGCCGTGTTCCTGCGCTTCACCACACGCACCACTGGTACGGGCAAAAGCGTCGCTCCGTCCGGCGGGCGACACGGCGGCTGCTGCTGTTGCTGTAGCCGTTTGTCACCTTCGCTGACCACGTCGTTGTTCTGCTGCTGCTGCTGCTGCTGATGTTGCTGATGGTACTGCTGCGGAAAATAACGCACTGGATACATTATCACTCGCATAACATTTGATTAAATATATGATATAACGACGAATTGAAAATATAAAAAATTAATAAAAACTACCGGACGGGTTGAGAACAATAATACAACGATTGTCGGGTATTATTATTACATGTTTGTAAACAGAATAAGAAATCTCGTATAAAATTCCGGTACTGATGAGGATAATTGCACGTGTGACTAATTCACCGCACGCGCTTACCCGTACAGAATATAATTTAGTTATTAAAATATGAACTATAACAGAAAACCCTGAATGTCATCCCCGAGTCATTTTGCACTTTTCGGGTTCGGATATCGAGTGTAGTACGTGAAATAGTATACACTGCGACGTGCGGATCCACACGTGTTCGGGTAGTCATAAATCCAAACCCATTTACAAAATAAGAACTGCTCGAACAGGAAAGTAAAAACAAAAAAAAAATGAACTAAGTTGAAACGCAACATATACGATTATGTATGTACATAAAAGGAAGACACGATTTATTTTACTGTCCGAGTCCTGGTCACACAAAAAACTTTAAAACGATTAGAAAAAAAAAAAATAGTTACAATTTTTGGCTAACAATAATTGAAGCGCGAAACATTACTAATGAACAATGCAATTTTCAATACATTTAAAAACTTTTAGTTATAATTAATGATAAAGAAATTAAATTTTATTGAAGAAATCTCTATTTAATATTTAGTGTACATCTGTTGAATTATTTTAATTACCACAACGCTTCTTTTGATACTCGATAACGGGTTATACATAATAATAACATAATTTAAGTGAAATAAGGTCCGATATAGAATCATATTTTAAACGGAAATATTTTATTGTCCATATGGGACTGTATATATATATATATAAACTGTATGGTAGTAATTCTAAATCGAAAAATTCGAAAATTGTAATTAATTTAAAAATAATAATCCAACTTATATTTTAATAAATATAGAAAGGATCCTAGTATCATATACCGATTTATTTAATTATATTTTTAAACAGTTTAAAAAAACTTGACGAATTTTAAAATCGATTAGAATCAATCAAAACTCATCGAATGTGATATTGTTATCCGATACAACGACTGACACGATTTGATTTGAAAAGAAGTAAAACTATCAATTTTAACGGGCCGTAATATATTAAAAATTTGTTTAACATGAATATAAAAGAGAATCCATAACGTTCGTGGCCGTAAGAATAGTAAAAATGATAGCGTGTGTTTTATCGAATTTCGATATTTTTGGGTTTTATAAGTGCTTATACTATCGATTTTAAAGTGCATTTTGGCGCACATTTCAAAAGTTTTATCGAAAATCAAGTAGTCCGGTAAATATTTTTCGTTATCAACAGTTACTGTTCAACCAAACTGTAATTTTTTCATAGTTGCTATCTTTTTAGTAAGTGGGGTGGTTTAAAGCGTTTAAATTATAGTTAAGTGGAATTCAAAGTCAGAGATTGTAATATGATAATCGAACACGTCACGAATCAATAGTAGCATAAAATAGATAAGTGCATATAAGGTTGGGGTCTTACTATGCGTTTACTGCCGTTTTGCATGCACCTTTCACCACTGTCATGTTAAGCGTTTTGTAAACGAGTGTACTTAATTTTGGTGCCAGAACGGAGTGGTGGAACGCATATTATGGCATGACAACTCTCATTCAAGACAATGCGTGAGGGTGACGGAAATTGCGTGCGCATCAGCGGTTAAGCGTTTCCGACCGACCCACCGAATGTGCGAACCGTCGCTAAGTGCGACCCGCGGTGTCTCATGGTTCCGCTTGACGCGTTGAAAACAAGTGAAACGCATAGTACGATCCCAACCTACGGGATCTTGTGGCCACGTACCTGTTGCGCCGGCGGCTGTCGCTCGACACGAGCCGTTACGGCATAAGGGTCTTCGTAGACGACGGCCGCGGAGTTCATGTCACACGCGTCCGCCGCGTTGTTGTTGTCGTACGGCGGCGGCTTATCGTCGTACCCCAATTGGTGGTAACCGCTGCCGCCGTCGAAGTAACCACCGTTGGCGAACTGCTGCTGATGCGGTTGCTGCAGGTGATGGTGGTAAAGGCCGCCGCTGTAGTCGCAGTTGGCCGCGGTCTGCATTGCGACCGCAGTGGACTGTGGACCGTAACTATTGTACGTGATGTCCTCGTAAGAAATGGACTCGTCGTCCACGAATGACGACGATGACGACGCCGTGCTGTCGGTCGGCTGGTGACCCACCACGCAAGTCACCATCTGTTGTTCCGCGGCCGGCGTCCAGTAAGACGGTGCGGACGGCGATAGATCTTGCACGGCGAACCGTTCGTCTCCGGCTAACGGTGCGGCCACGGACACCGTCATGCATTCTTGCTTCACTGTAACCGCGAAAATGTCAAAATATTATCGGCTGCCCGCGCATGATTGGCGTGATCAACGCCTCATGTATTACATGTTAATCCTAATCCGGAACGATCTCGTCGAAAATCGGAAAGAAAAGAAAACTGCCTAGGTGGAAACTTTTTCTCAGGATGGCTCAATCCGGTGGGTCTTATTTGAATGTTATAGTTTTCGTTTATAAAACGGCAACTTCAACACTTGGGTTATTTTATGTTTAATACACATCAAAAGAAACTGGAAAAGTACTGTACAAACGATTCCACCCCCGACTGACAAAACATCCAAATCTCTTAATATCAGCTTTCGATTCCGACGCCATTTTTGGTAATCTTTATCACAGACTAAAGCTTATGGGACCCGTGTTTCCCCCCCATTCAATACCTATTGATTATCAGTGTATATTTTTTAACTGTGATTATTTATTCAGTGGCGCGCCCAGGGGGGAAAGTTAGGTGTTAATCTCCCTCAATTGACACTTAATCCCCTTATATGTATCTTTGGTATTACTCCCACAATGCATTTAAGCGTATTATTACTTATAACATTCCCATCATTGAAATTTTCTGGACACACCACTATATTTATCTGTTTTTTAAAGGTATTTGTATGATTACGTATTTAGTGTATTTTTGTGCTCTCCCCATTATTTATTTTTAAATTTACCCCTGTGCTAAAGAATAATGATGTCGTGACTTAAATCTATAATTCAATTTTTATCAAAATTAAATAAATTAACATGTAAAATATCGACTTATCTCATGCATCTCATGTCATAAAAAAGCATAAATGCTTATGGTAATAATTAAATTATAGATTGGTTATTTTAAAATTAAGTTTTATAATGAAAAATGTTTTGTTTACGTATAATTACGACATAAGACGAATTCCGATTTATTTAAAATCCAATAGTTGGGAATCAAACACAAAACGAAAATAACGTTAAACGTTATTAATATGTTCAAGGGAGGACTGGAATATTTTTACAGTTGGGCATATTCTACCCTTAGTCTTTTAGTGCAAATTGAACGAAGTGCTTTAGAATGCTGAAGAAAGAGATGATGGTATACAGTAGAATTGGAATCCAAAAATGGTAGAATATTGAAAGCGTGCTTAAAACTTAACGACTTAAAGAACTAGTAGAAAACAAACTACAGATGAAATAATTATAGTGCGTCCAGTTAGACGGGATTTAACTTCTAACGTGGAACATATAATGTATTATTATTATTAGATGTATTATAATATATAACGAACTGCGTAATACATCAATTTGACTAAAGTCCGTTCGATGACAGTCATAGTACATTGTTGTAGAATTCCAGTGTTTCCGGTGTCTCTATATTATATATAGTCTATATATTTATGTACCGTCTCTATTGGTCGAAGTGTATAAAATGAATTCATTATAGAGGAATATTTGATTTTATTTACGTACAATTTATTTAACTTTTATAATATAATTTAACGTTTAAACTTGCAAAATAACAATATCATACAATTGCCATAGTATATTGAATTAATGAAAACTTAATTAAAACTATCATATTATTATTCAATAATCAAAACCTAATTATATTTTATTAATTTTACTTTGTTTTATTTTAATTAGTTTTGAAAAAAAATTTTTTGTTTTTACCGAATTTATCATTATATATCTATTTTGGATTTGTTTAAATGTAATAATTTTATAGTCATATATAGTCATTTATAGTCATACATATTCATCTTATTGTAAATTGAAAAATGTTGTATAGTTTAATAACATTAATTTATATAATGTTTTGTAAAAATTGCATACGTTTTGTATATTTTATAAATCATACTTGATAAAATAATTTTGTTTTAAAATAATTTAAATTATTTTAAACTACTGAGTTATGTGTAATGTATTCTTATATATTGTAGCTCGTATTGATTACATAGTATAAAAATAAAATTCTATGAATTTGTAATTATCATTGAGTGTATATGTTGCAGTGTATATACAACTATTAAGTCTTATCTACATGTGTATTATGGGACTTGCCACAACAGACATCTTTATGCATTAATAAAAAGTATAAATTTGAAAAATAAAACGTTTACCTGAGTAATTCGGTTGATAATGTCGAGACGAATAGTTAATTATATCGCTAGTCATGACGCGCTTGATTTATAACACTGTCAAAAACCAATATGATCACAATCGGTGATATACGACGCGAAATAATGTGATCCGCGATTTGAGTAAATATAAACAAAAGGATTATTTTTTATGTGTACGGACGATTGCGAATAAAAAAAAAAAAAATCCTGATGAAGAACAAAACAGGGAAATCCATCAAATATTGTACGTGGTAGTTTCGGGCCTAAACATGTATTATTATACGAGCATCGTAGTCGAACCCGAATGATTCTGCAATGAATCCCCAATCCCTAGCCAAATGCCGAGCCACTTGTTTTAGCTGCACAAGTCCCGCCCATTCGTTTCCAAGGGGCGTTCATCGATATCTCTATTACGTAAACTGTGTGTGTGTGTGTGTGTGTGTGTGTGTATAATGAACGCTCGCACGCGCATTCGTACACATACTGTACTGTATATTATCGCATATATACATATATAACTATCATACGACCGTCGACTTCGTCATGTGTCAAAATAACGAAAAATATTAGACAGGGATGACTGATTTTACGGTCGCTTAATGTATGTCAAGAAAGCGAGAAAGAGAGATAGGTGCGCTTTTAATACAAGTATATACTTATAAATGTTTTATAGTTCAATGTAATACGATTTCCTATGGATAAGTATGTTATATTCATCTCAGTGGAGTATTAAATGAGAGGAATATGAATGATATATCCCCATTAGAGCTTCTGTTTTCAATATTTTTTAATTGTAATACCATTATTATTTTTTATGAATGTTTAAAATTATTAAAATGTCGACGGAAGTAAAAATGTTATTCTTAGGTATATTACATGTATTTTTCATAATTAAGTTACGTTATATCTATAACTATGTACATTTTGTTACTAGAGTAATTATAATTAATAAATATTCCCTTCCCCTAAAGGAAAAATCTTAAATACTCCTCGAATTCGTTTAGCGAGTTCCTTTTTCTCATCGTCTCCGCCTTCAGCCTTCGATTCGTGGTGCTTACGCGTGCGCTTGTACAAGACAAAATTTTTTTTCAAATACCGATCGACCGGAAACCACTTGATTGACGTTTCTTGTTCTAAGCTTCTACTCAATGTACTCATAGGTACATTATAATTTCCCATATTATAAATAGGCTACTATACCCTTATCCATGGTGGGGGTTAGTCAACCAGATAATATTTTTAATGCTTATAGATATACTCACGGATGCACATATTCTATACACTGCAGGGATATGATCATATTATATACTAAGTGGTTATACCAAAGTAATATATAATAATATAATATAATATAATATATAGCATAATGAAGCACTTAATAAACATACATCCATATTTTCTAGACGGACTGCGATATTCAAAATAATGGATGATGAACATTATCTAGTACCGATATAATATATTGTATTTATAGATATTGTATACGAAAAAAATCTCATAAAACAGAAAAATTATATTTTAAACTTTAATACTATTACGTCATTATATATCAGTACATTTATAAATAACTTATTATCTAACCTTGAAAGTAAAATTAAAAATATGTAAAAACCGATAACAATCAACAACTTCGTTATTAAAATATTTTAAATTTATATATTTCATGTATTTTATTTGATATATAATATTCGAAATACTGCATGCATAATTTTTCATATATATATCCCATGTATAAAATCTTACATCGTAGTAAATATAATAATTATTTAAACAATGTTCTACGAATAAATTATAGAAATATAATTCATGAGTTTACTTCAATATTATATAACACTAGAGTTTATAAGGGTTTAATGTTAAAATTAAAGGATTTGGAATTTATATAAATGGAGAATATATTTAGCTATAATATATCATATAGTTGTATGCGCCGTATGAATAACTGAAATAGTGCTAATTGATAACATTTAAAAATAATATAAAGTAAGAAAAATATATAATTATTTAACGGCAGTTCACAATAGATCTAGACTATTATATTCATTGCTATTTATACTCTGAAAATGACGATGATACATTTTGGTTTTTGCATATATGATATGCTACAAGTATATACAATAATATAATGTAATATATTCATAAACAATGCAATTAATTGAGATTAATATGTAAAAAAGTAGATATAATAATAATAATAATAATATAATTTACTTATTATTTGTATATATGTATGTGTAAACCATCGCTAATCAGAATAAAAAGAAGAATTTTACAAAAATGTTACAATAAATTATTGTATAAAAATTAATATACAATCGGTGATTTTAATATTAATTTATCATTTCAATGCATTTTATATGACGAAATTCATTTAAACAATGATGAGATATATCTGAAAATTATTAATATTTTCATTTGAAATAGCTTTATCGCAATTACATTATAAAATATCATAAAAGTTTAATATTATTATTGGTATATTTAGGACTCGTTTATGTATTACTCTATGTTTTCCTTCTGGAATCGCTTCAGTATTACTACATCAAGTGTCTAGACTGTATTTAAAAAACATATTTAAAAATATATATATATATATAAACATAAACCATTTCAAGAAAAACAATGAAAGTTTTTTTCCTAAAATTGTATAGTTGAATGTTTACAATTTGTTTTCATAGTGGTTTACTGCTATTTATAACTATTTGTACACACAATTCAAGTATGTATAGATTTTTACAGTTATAACTTTCAATTTTTAAATTCATTGATCGTTTTTTTTTCGTTTTCGATGGAAGTAAGGTTCTGATTTGAAATAATTTGTGAAGCATAGTACTATAGATCTTCCTAAATAAATGATTTAATATAATCCTTCAATACATTTTTTTTTACATTTTATCTTGTTTTTTCGACGATCGAAAACGATTACGAGTGCAAAAACTGAACGCGTCCAGTTACCAGTTCCGTAGCAACCAAACATTGCGTCCGGGGCGAAACTTCATAATGTGTTCCTTATGTATTTTTAATTTAAAAACATTATGCTTATTATTATATATTATTTGTCAATGATTGCTTTAATTAATATGAAGGATGTTAAAGATTTGGTAAACAAAATATACGACATTGACCGTTGTAATTTTTAACATTAAATGCAAGATTTTAATTTTTGCGCTCTTGCAGGAATTGCGCCCGGGGCGTAGGCATCTCTCGCCATCCCCTTGCTACGGCCCTGCCAGTTACGATGCCAATTTATCGAATCGAAATTAATAAATCTAATCGTCTTATGTTTATCTCTCGGCCCAAGCGTGTTTAGCGTAATACGGTGATGTTATATGACTATCCATCACATATCAACTACTTCTATTCATAAATAAATTTACAAGTGTATCGTTTTATACTGATACCGCGGATGGTAGTAGCAACGGCGGCGGCGGCGGTAAAAAATAAAAATACTATTTCCGGCGGACGGAACACGACGTGCTCTGTGCGCAGAATCGACGCGTTAACTCCGATCAAGTCCATTGGCCGGCTTCACATTTCCCCTCGAATTTCCGGCACGTCCAAGTCCGCCACGCTGCACGGAGTAACCGCCTACATAAAAGCCAAACGCGTGCGCTCATATGTATAAGTGTACACGAATTTATTATTACATTTTACTGTTTATTATATTAGATTATAAAACGACGGCGTTTAGTTTTTGAGCGTCGGCGATCGCCCCCTAATGTAATTCGTTTATTGTTATTACTATACCACCATCGTTGCTATTATTACCATTATTATTTTATAAAATTATGACGTTATAAATACACAATTTAAACCAACGGATGAGGGAGACGATCGCTTTAATAACGTAATCGGGTTCTTTTCTTTATATATATATATATATATATATATATATATATATATATATATATAT